TCTCAATAGGTATTCTTATAAGAAATCTTAGAAGAATCACAAATCTAAACTTTTGTATATGAAAAAGAACTAGTCAACTCTATTGTAAGCCCTCAGGGTACATATAATCATCGACAGTTTTTATATCACGAAGCTGTGGGCAGAAATGGACACAAGGAATTAATCATCATCCCATCCTAGCAAGAAAGGCACAGCAGCTAATAATAACTGGGCTGCTTTGTTCTTGGTCCCCGACCTTACCAAGTTCCTCACACAGCTAAGTGCCTTTCTAAAACTTTAGATTGTTTCTAAGTTGTTTTTTTTTTTTAACCTCAAAGCTATTATCAAGACATCTTAACCTTACCTGAAGTAATTTTAAGGCTTTGTTTCAGCTATGATACACATCAAAAGCTGTGAATACATCTTTCAACATCAAGATTTGGCTCCTGAGACTCAACTGTTTTCCTAATCCTTAACCTAAACTACAGTCCATGCACTTCCTTGAGTGAAGCTGATAGGTCCTAGCTGTGTGACACTTCCTTGTGTTTATTTTCAATCATCAAACTCTGTTTAAAATAACATTTATTATCATCAGTTGAACAGTACATCTTAAGAAGAAATCATCTTCATTATAACCCATGGATAAAAATGCCCAGTAGAATGAGGTATTTCCAAGAGATGAACATGCTACATTTAGGGCAGTGGGGCTCTTCCCACACCCACTCACAGCATGCTAGATACCAGAGAAAACCTGCAGGGCAAACATGCAAAGACACCGCAGTAGCTCATTCTGGGGATGAGGCTCTCAGGGCCTGCCTATCTGAGCTTCACTCATCAGGGTTTGTGTCCTGGTGGGCTGATCCCCTGAAGTCAGCGGCCGTCTGCCGATCCTCTGACATGGACATCAACATTCAGTGCCCTAATTTTAGACACATATCTAGTGACCAGAGATAAAGGTTTTCTTTCTAAAGGGGAGTGGGAAAAATGTAGCTCAGTGAAAAATTAAAAACACATTATCTTTCTAGAAATCACCTCTGTTAGCACCATGGCAGGTGTCTGTGCCCGGGGTGTTTCCCTCTGCTGGCAGCTGGGAAGTCCTCAGGAGACCATCTCAATTGCTGCTCCTTTGTGTGTCAGGCAGCAAGGGAATGTACAAAGTGACTTGGGGTATTTTCTTCAAGGAAAGAGGCCATCTGGGGATGCTCAGAGAACAAAGCAAACAGGGAGTGTGAAAATTGCTCTCTGCATATAAAATTATAAAATTGTTTATTTGTTTTAGTGACTCATTTTCATAAATCAAAATCTATATGTTCTTTCCTGTTTTGTTGGCATATAAACAATTTCCCCCATCGATCACAAGCCACAATGGTAAAACATACCACTTGTTTATCTTTGCGTTTCGGTTTCAGTACTGATTGTTTAGATATTGCCTACTTGAAACTCCTTTTCAATTAAAAAAAAAAGGACTAACATATTATTTGTCTCTGTGTGTGTGTGTGTGTGTGTGTGTGTGTGAGTTTATACGCACCACATGTGTGCAGGTGTCTGCTGAGGCTAGACAACATCAGATTCCTTGGAACTGGAGTTATAGACAGTTGTGAGCTGTCTGATGTGGGTGCTGGAAATCAAACCCAGGTTCTCAGTATACATTTCTAACTGCCGAGACTCCTCTCCATTCCATCCTTTTCAGTTTTTAAGGAAGAAACTCACCGTTTAGCAATCAGTCCTGGGCCCACAAAAGCATTATCAGACTTTTTATGCTCTGAAATGCCCTGCCCCTAGGATGTGAGATTGTGTCTCTTGGCCAGAGACAGCAGGTTCTTTACTCTGCTCTGAGTTGACCTTAGTGACTTCTTTATCAGTGTTTTCCAATTAGTGACTGGCACAGCTCACAGCTCTGGGCATGTCAAGGAGATTACAGAAGCACTATCAAGAGCTAGAGTCCAAAGTCCGTTCTAAGGAGAGTCTAGATTTTATTTCTAGCCTTAGTCCAGCCGTTGGGGGGCTGAGCTGCACCCCACTGAGTTGAGCCTGTTTGTCCTTGGAACTATTGTGAATCAGGGTTTGTAGGCTGGTGGGAGGGGTTCAGGTTGCTAAAGCTGCACTGCACCTTCATTTTCTAGATACTTGTTTTTACACTGTGTGTGTGTGTGTGTGTGTGTGTGTGTGTGTGCATGCGCGCGCGCGCGCGCGCACGCACTTCTGGCATGGCTCTCTGCACATTTGTGCATTTGTTCATGGAGTCACAGGCATTAGATCCCTGGAGCTAGAGTTCCGGGTAGATGTGAGCTGCCCAGTGTGGGTGCTGGGAACTGAGCTAGAATTCTCTGCAAGATCAGGGACTTCTTTTGAACCCCGAACCATCTCTTCAGCCTTATGCAGCACTTTTATGATTTTGGGTTACATTAAAAAAATTTTAAAGATTTTATTTATTATGTATACAGTATTCTGCCTGCATGTATTCCTACACACCAGAAGAGGGCACCAGACCTCATTACAGATGGTTGTGAGCTACCATGTGGGTGCTGAGAATTGAACTCAGGTCTTTTGGAAGAGCAGCCAGTGCCGTTAACCGCTGAGCCATCTCTCCAGTCCTGGATTACATTTTTTTTTTTTTTGAGACAGGGTCTTTTTCTCTCTCTGTAGCCTTGCTTGTTCTGAAATTCACTACATATACCAGGCTGGCTTTGAACTTACACCTGCCTCTGCCACTATAACTTGTTACTACTTTTACTGGAGTACAAACATGTTAGAGAAAATAGGAGAGAGCCAGGATTACAGAGATGAGCAGAGGTGTTCATCCCTTAGCTGAGTCCAAATACTCCACAGTTCATTACCACACGAAGCCCCTGAGTAGCTCTGCTACACCAGATACAGGGGTGAGCCTGACCTTGCACAGGCCTCCTGAGTCTTAGAGACCACTCTAGCAGAGAAAATGAACTTTTACACAGCAAGTGCTGTTTTCCACCAACACCTTATAAAGACAAACTCTGGTGCTAGGTGGGCCCAAGGCGTTTATAGAAGGGAGCTGTCTGTGCACTGCAGATGCTACCATGGAAAGTTCCAGAGGATTTAATGCCTCTATCTGGAAGGCAAGGTAGTATCTACCAGCTGCTGTTGTCCCTTTTGTGTCAGCTTTTGAGTATTTCATTTCAACTTCCTTCACATTCTGCTGGGATATGTCCGGAAGATAACTAAAGCATGCTTCCCCATGGCTTTGGGAGTTTAAAGACTCCTGGCATTTTGAGTTTGCTCTCCCTGTTTCCAGCTTGTACAGTTCAAGATATGAACTCTCATCTTGCCATCATGCCTGCTATTTCCTGCCATGATAAACTCATCTGTCTAGAATCATAAGCTCAAATAAAAAACTCTGTCTTCTATATGTTGCCTGTAAGGATCCAGGCATTATGCTGGCCTGCCTCTGTCACCTGGCAGAATGCACTCAGGCAGTACCCTAGTCAGCCCAGGGTTCCATGAGTACTAGTCTGCATCCAGATGTAAAGGACCCCTTTAAAAGACAGACCCCCGCCCACTTACACTCTTTTCCAGCTCTTTCTTCTCTTTCCTACTCTTTTCCCCGCGGTTCCCCTGGGGCAGACAGAACTTTTCCTGTCTCTCTTCTCTTCTGTCCGCTCTCTCTGTCTCTGTGTCTCTTTATCTCTTCCCCCCCTTCCCTTGCTAATAAAACTCACTTCTCTGCCTGCCTGGCACGTTTGTCCCTCTGCCTCAGTCAACCTCCCCCAACGAGGAATCTGCCAAGGTTCCTTGCACCTTATTCCTAAATTGTCTTGGTTATGGTGTTTATCGCAATAGAAAAGCCATTAATACATACATTGTGACAGGTCAATTTATGAACATAACACAAAGCACTACATATTAGTGAATAAAATACACAATGTATTTATTAAGATTCTTCAATACCAAATAAATTTTACTCCAAAAATTTTAAGATAGTATATTAGAGTTCTCTCAATATATTTTATTTTATTAGATTAAATAAGTAAATATGATTATATCAATAAGTGCTGCTGAGGTGCTAGTACAAATCATAAAATATGTATGTGTGGGACCTGGCAAGTATATTTTTAAATTTTTTCTTTCTTTCTTTGGGGATGGGTTTTTGAGACAGGGTTTTTCTGTGTAGCCCTGGCTGTGTGGAACTTGTTCTGTAGATCAGGCTGGCCTCAAACTCAGAGATCTGCCTGCCTCTGCCTCCTGAGTGCTGGGATTGAATGTGTACTCCACCACCTCTGGGCTAATTTTCCTTTGTTTATGTGGGTTTTTGCCTGTGTGTGTCAGTGTGCCACGTTTATGCAGTGCCTGTAGAGGCCAGAAGAGAACATCAGCTCTTCTGGAATAGGAGTTATTGTGAGCTGCCATGTGGATGCTGAGAATTGTACCGGGTCCTCTTAATTACTGAGCCATCTCTCTAGTGCTTAACAAATTTATTTAAAAATAATTGTGGGTATATAATAAAGGGCTGAGAAAGGTTGTAAGGAGAATAAAGAATTTCTCAACAGAGTTCCAGGGTTTACTTTAAAGCTATAAGAAAGCCATCAAGGTATGTAAGAGCAGGCACAGGCTTTGCTCCTGGCTAAGTGGCCTGTCTCCTGCTCAGTGTTTCTGTCATGAAAGCTGAACACTCTCTACCTCAACCTACCAACCTGGCATCTCTTCTTTGACCTGGGTTCTTACCCGAATCCAGGGCCTTGGCGTCTAGGGGTTGCCTTTCAGCCATCTTCTTCTCTGACTTCTAGTTCCCTGGACTATGATAAAGGTATATTTTCAGTAAAAGCTCCTCCCCACCCCCCCATATTCAAGGGTTTTTTTTTCATGATAAATGTATAATCATCTTGGTAAGTGGATGAGGGAGAAACATGGCTCTCTGTTTAGAGTATAAAGTTATAAATTATCGACTGCCTCATCAGTATCTTCCATCCGGTGACTTGGCACAGCTACAGCATGTGCTTACAGCATGGGATTACAGAAAATTTCTAAGAGATAGAGCTCGAAGTCCATTCTAAGGTGAATCCAGATTTTATTTCCAGGAATAGTCGAGTCAAACCCTCTACAGTCTTCCTTTTCTCCTGGTCTACTTGCTCTGCTAAATACAATCATGTATCATTTTATGACAGGGAAAATTTTTGAGAAATTCATTATTAGAACATTCTGCCACTGTATGAACATCATAGGGTCTATTATACAAACATAGATGGGATGGCTTCTGACCTATCTAGACTATAGTATAATCTTATGAAAGATTACTATTGTTCATATGGTTGGGTGACTAAAATGTGCTTCCATTATCAGTGTGTTTTTCTGGGGTGTGGCTATTTTTCTTTGGCCCAAATCAAGCAAGCAACTGTTTGTCGCTTTGGTCAAAGTCTTCACAAACTATTGAACGCCTGTAGATGAAATTCGAGTGTGGATGGAAATGTAAGTGTAGATAGTATATTGTTCACAGGCCTGGGGTTCATACTCTGCCTTCTCAGTAGCCAGGCCTGGACAGAGTTCCAGCCACATGGCCCCATGGAGTGGTGGACTGAGGACCAAGACAGAGTCGGGAGGCTGAAGACAAGCGCAGAGACACCATATTGACCTGGGCCCTTGTTTTCAGACAGATAGGTTAAAATGTGGGGTGTGTGTGTGTGTCTTTGTGAGTTATACAATTGTCCCCCTTGAGTATAGTCTAGGAAAACAGGGACACCAAGCTCCTGGTAGAGGAGGCACAGGGCTGTCAAGCCTTCCCTAGCTGTGGGGTCCTGATGCCCTTGCAGACTCAAGCTTATGACCTGGGTGTGAACTAGGCCAGACACGGTGATGGCAGGTCACTGGTCCCAGGAGGACAGCAGAGTGAGGCTGTGCTGTGGGGCCCTGGCTGCAGCTGCCCTTCCTCTTCTCTGATTGGGTGCCTTTGGAGCCCTCCTTAGTAGTGGACACAGTAGAGATGAACACTTCCAGTGATCCTGAGCTCCCGTAGCTGCTCCAGTGCTTTCTGGTTCAGGCTGGTGGCTCCCAGCCCCTGCCCATTGAGTGCCAGCTTCAGCCCTCCCTCCTGGCATAGAAGCAGTACCTGGTAAGAATAGCTAGATTGGGTGGCAGGCTTCCAGACAGACCCTCCCTGGTGTACTAACATGGGGAACCTCCTCAACTGAGGGACACAATGACCAGTCAGGTTCAGGGATTAAAGTTCACCATCTACAATGCTGCTTTCCACTGGGAAATGCTCTCAACCCTGGTTACACACTGGAGTCAGAAAGGGAACTGGAGATCAGGTCTCACTTATGTAGCTCAGGCTGGCTTCAAGCTTCCTATGTAGCTGAGGCTGGCCTTGAACTCCTGATCCTTCTGCCTCAATTTTTCCAAGGGCTGGGATTACAGGCGTGCTCCATCACACCTGGCCTTTAGAAGCTTAGGAAAGCTTTTAAAGACAACTGGTGCTTGGGTCTACCTGCATTCATGATGCCAATGTTTCTGGACACAGCATCTCTGGCATCAACATAGAGGACTGACGGCCATGACGGCCAATGTCTGAACATTCTCTCTGCAGGGCTGGCTCTGGCTACCTAGCCCAGGGTGTTGATTCATCCCAGGATCCAGCCCATAGTCTTCCAGGTCACTGTGGGAATAGGCTCAAACAGAGATGTGACTACTTGGCTCAGACCTACCTCGAAAAATCGCTGGGGGTAGAAGAGGAAGGGCGCTGAGATCAGCTTTTTTCGTCCCCAGGAGGAGACCCAGGCCAGTGTTCTGTCTGTGAAGGAAGCTCTGAGTGTTACTGGAACATGGGTGGTCCCATTCCTCAGGCTCAGGGTGAAACTACAGGAAGCAGGCAGAGAAGTGGATCAGTGTCTGTTGCCTTCAGCCTGTTGTATCTCTGAAGGCTGAGGCAGGGGAGCCACTGGATGATCGGATAGCTTCTAAGAATTAAGTTTCTGTGTCAGGCTCTGGGCAGGGTACCTGGACATATAACAGACAGCACAGAGGCATAGACAGCACATGTGTATCATACTTGAATTCCTGACTAGAAGACTACGGAGGCAGAGCAGTTACCTAGCTGGAGCCTCAGTTTGCTCCCCTGAAAATGGGGATAGCTTGATCACAGCAGCAGTTAACATTTATTGTTATGTGTCAAGTTGTGGCTTAGTGCTTTGGCAACGAGCTTAGTGGTAAGGACCAGGCTGCATGGTTTATGCTCTGTAGCTTCAGAGCTTCAGCCTTGGATGAGTCACTTAATCTCTGTGTGTTTCCCCATCTGCAAATTAGGGAGGATAAGAGTCTGTTCTCATCTTGGGTTGTTAGAATTAAGTGAAAGAACATGTAAGTTGCTTGTGTAGAATAGTAATAGTGTATGAAAATGATATTCTTTGCTTAGGCAGTATTATTACATAACACAGAATCTACATATTTTTATTTGTGTGTGTGTGTGTGTGTGTGTGTGTGTGTGTGTGTGTGTGTGTTTGTGTGTGCTCGAGCCCGTGCGTGCATACCAGGGACTAGAGGAGGGTTTCAGATGTCCTCCTCTATTTCTTTATGCTATTCCTTTGAAGCAGGCTCCTCCCTGAGCTTGAGGCTCCAGCTTCCCAGTGAGGCCAGAGGCCAGCAAGTCTCAGGTTCCCTCCTGTCTTGTCTCCAGGGGTGCTGTGTGTTATGAGTGTACCTGGCTTGTTCCACGGGTGCTAGCATCGGAACTCCAGCCCTCACACTTGTATTGGGAGCGCTCTTAAATGCTGAGCCATTTCTCTAGCTCCAGAGTTTTGATGGGTGTCTAAAGGGAATCTCTTATCAAGTCTACGGCTCTGTTGTATTGGTTCAGGGTGACATTAGGGGACACTGAAGCCTCTAGTTTAAATGGATCTAAGCTACAGGTCTGGGTTTGAGTGGCCAACTGGAGGAGAAGGCAGAAAAGATCCATTTTCTAATTGCCTACAGGTTCTAGCTCCCAAATACTAACAAACACTTCCTTTCTAGGATAGCTTGGTTATTCCCTAAACTAAACATTGTGACAGAGGAGGAGGCCATATCACCTATTTGGGACTCAACTGCCAAGTATTTAAAATTGAATTATTTAAAATGAAACACTTACTCTTTCGGCTCTTGTAGGACCAATCCTCGAACTACAATGACTTGCCCGGGACGGAGACCCTGAGGAAGAGTGCGTGAGCAGGGTACCTCCTGACAGAAATGGAAATGACTGAGATGGTGATCACAGGAGTGTCAGGGTCCCTCACCAGCAGGCTACCCTCAGGGACCCAGAGACACCAGGGTAGGTGAGTTTCTCTATAGGACTGCAGCTGGGAGACCCAGTCCTGCCCATGTAGTAAGTGCCTGCTGTAGACATTTGAGGGCTTCTTCAGGCTCCTCCAGGCTGTGCTCAGTGTCCTGGCACTTCCTCCCACAAATGTGCTCTCAATTGTATGCAGCAGGCATGCAGTGGTTTGGTACTGCACCATCTATGAGCAACTGGAGGTCTGGGACTGGATGGACTCCTAACCTAATGCTTGACACACTAGGTCAGTCACAGGGAAGTATTAAATACCTGTTTGCAGAGTGAAGAGGGTAAGATGAAACTGCAGCTGCTCCCCCTCCTCCCACTGCTGCAGTTTTCCACAAAGAAAGGGAAACCAGGAAGTCAGGGAGCTGAAACGGGACTATACATGTGCAGGAGAGACCTAGAGTGAGAGCCACTTACCAGCCTGGGACTATACAGCAGGAAGGGCTGAAGGGGAGAAAGAGGCAGGGGAGGTTGTTAGCTTTTGCCTGGGCAAAGAAGTCTTCCTACTTTGCTTGCACTGGCGGGACACAGAGTTTGTGCCTCTCTTAGCAGCAGGTGAGTGATTGGGCTCCCAGTGGAGGAACCTTTGAATCTCAAGATACCCCATCCCTGAGCAATGGGGAAGAGTTGGAAGGACAGTGGGGCTGTCATCCACATCTCCAGCAAGATCATGCGTCTCATCTCCCTTTTTTGTCCTGTGACGCCAACCACAGCCACCTTACAGGGTTGATCTGGGAATCTAAAGTTCCATAGAAAGTGGCTTCCCTTGGGAAGCATGGGCCCCTGAAGGTAGCCAGACTCCTCCAACCCAACTTCCCAGGCTTGCCTTGGAGATAGGAGGGAGAGAGGCAAACCCAGGCTCTCCAGGGGCTTAGGGGAGTCAGGCCTACTCCTGGTATGGCCAGCAGTGAGGGAAGGGGTCTTGTGCAACCATGTGCAGGGCGGAGAGAGGCCAGCTGGCATCTGTGCACGGTTGTTCAGCCTTGCTCCAAAAACCCTCAGATATCCTGGCTGGGGAGTCATCAAGACTGATGACTGGGTTCCACCCTGGGCTCACACAGGGGAAGAAAACTCCTACAAACTGTTCTCTGACCTCCACACGCGCATGCTTCTCTCATCACGCACGCATGGACACATCATGTATTCACATACACACAATGAATAAATGTAATAAAAATAGAAGAAACTCACATATCCAACTGGATACTCTCTTCTGCCCTCCACAAATGGCTGTTAGGAAACAAAAAAGAACTGCCAGCCTTGGGACCACTGCAAGTTCCTGACAGCTTCTCATACCTTTTAAAGCTGGCCCCACCTCAGATTTACTGAATCAAAGCAGGGCCTTTTGGCAGCACTGGGGATTGAACTTAGGGCCTTGTGTTTGCCAGGGCACTGAGTCACATATTTAGCTGTATTTTGGATAAGTTAATTGGGTAGATAGGATCCATCTATCAAACTGCAGCTTGCGTGGACCCTGATGTGCCAAATCCTTTGCCCGCTCAGTGCCACGCAGACTCCACCAAGGGAGACTCTTGTCTATGGTTCCTGGGTTTCCTCACTGCAGCCACCCTCTCTTCCTCCCCACCCCATGCATTTCCGACACCTGTGTGCTCTTCCTCATATGAGAACTTCCTTTGTCTTTAGTCTGGGGTGAGTGATCGAGTCCCAGACCTGTCCAGATTAGGGGAAGTCAGAGGCCACCACTGACCCCAGTCTTGGCTCTAAGAGAACTTACATTGATGTTCAGGAATCCAACAGCCTTTACCAAAATGTCACCATATATGCCCAGGGTGTCCACACGCGACAGTGGGAGCTGGTAGCAGAAGTGAAGAAAATGCTGTCCATTTACACTCACCTGGAGAAGCAGACGAAGCTGAAGAGCACTGTCCACTGTGTGCACCACCCATCCCAGGCACCAGCAAACACGCCTCCCTAGGTTTTCTTACTTGTTCCCCCCCAACTCTGCAAGGCAGGTGCATTGTACAGATAAACTTACATAATCTGCCCAAGGCTGTGGGGCTCCTAGGTGGCAGAACTGATCCTAGGACCAGAGCACTGTCCACACCCTCTTTACCCATGACAGGGCACTGTCCATGCCCTCTTTTCCCATGACAGGGCACTGTCCACGCCCTCTTTACCCATGACAGGGCACTGTCCATGCCCTCTTTACCCGTGACAGGGCACTGTCCACGCCCTCTTTACCTATGACAGGGCACTGTCCACGCCCTCTTTTCCCATGACAGGGCACTGTCCACGCCCTCTTTTCCCATGACAGGGCTCTTCCCTTAGCCAGTGTGCGTTGTCATCATTGTCACTATCTGTTGGGGGCCTGCTTTGTCAGGGTTCAGGTCCCAAAGAGGATGTGTGCAGTTCCGGGGGTGGGGTAGGAATTGGGGGTGAGACGAGATCTGAGGGTGAATCAGGATGGCTGCCATTGTGCTTATTGAGAAAAGGCTACAACTTTTGCACATAATAGTTTAGCCACAGGCAAGACTGAAAGCAGACTCAATGATTCAGGGGCCATTAACTTCATTTATTACAGCATTTTCTTCTGAGACAAAAGTAGTAAGTTCATCAAGTATCTAAATGTCTATTGTTCTCAAAGGTTCAGTAACTCCACTGGTAGCTCTCTTGTACCAAGGAAGGGCCACGAGTTCCTCCTGCCAGAGATAAGGATAAGGACTGCTTTTTAGCAAGGCCCCTTTAACTAAATGCCTGACCTTGGGAAAAGAACGTGTGGGGACTAGACCCTTCACTACAATTTAAGAACAATTTTCATTCCTCAAGGAGGGTGATGCAGCGTTTGCGCTGAGCTGTTCCCTAATTGTGTCCCTTTGTGTCCTGGTCTTTACATGATCCATTCCTCTCGTACGCTTCTAGAAGGGAAGGCCCTAGTGTTTTACTCTTCCCATTATTCCGTGCCTCTCTGGTCTCCACACTTATTAACTGAACTCTGGCCCTTAATGGCCTCAGGGTCTGGATCTGAATCATAGGCAGTTCGTCCTTGGGGTCAGGTGTGTCTAGTCAGTCTCTAACTTTTCTGTTCTTGGTGTAATCAGGAGGGCACAGTGGGAATTCCTGTGTTCAGAGTCATCATCCTATATGGTTCCACAGTGGAGAGGATTTTTTCCTAGGAATTATTTTGTTTAAAGAGGCTGCTGTTTTATACATTTGCATCCTTCAAAGCCCACATGAAATTTCCCAAAGGAAAATGCATAAGGGAACTCCTATAACACACAATGAGAATCATTAAAAGTGAAAGTTAACAGGTGCTGGAGAATGTCCGAAATGTTGAAATGCTGGAAATTTGTCAAACAGCAATGGTCACCATGTGATCCATGGCAACCACCAGCAGCAGCAGCACCACCATCCTCTTCTTCCTTCCCCTCCCCCTATCTACAGCAAGGAAACCAAGGCTCAGGAAGTTGGGGATAATTTGTATGTCTTAGGACTTCCTTTCCACCAGCTGCTTTATCCTGTAGAGCCTTTTGAAGGCCTCCTTATCATTCTACTAGGATCATATTGGAGGTCAAAGCCTGAGCTTTAAGTTCTCTCTCCTGTCTCCTGCTGCCTCAGCTGTAAGCTGATCGTGAAGGTATCCACCTCAGACATTGTGGGAGGACTTAATGGGCACATTCTCACAAAGGGTTTGGCACGGTGCCTGGCACCAAGCAGGATGCCTCCCAGTGCTTGCTCTGACCAAGCAGTGACTCCCTCTCCCCATTAGATCCAGGGACCTTAGCACTTTCTTATTGCCATATGGGTCCAGAGTAGCCTTAGCCCCTTCTCTACAGTGCTGTCCATGGCAGTGCCATGGGCAAGAGAAGGAACAGTGTAGGGGTGCCCGTTCTAGGCTACTTGATGCCTACCCTTTATACTCACCTTCACCTCTTCATTCTCAAAGAGAAACAGGATAAGGAAGCTAGCCCCTTTCTGCAGGGTGACACCCGGCCACCGGACCTCTTTTTGCCAGAGTCCACCTTGGAGGGTGTTGCAGATGACATGGGGTTTGACAGTGTAGAAGCGGGGGTTGAAGTGGAAGGCAATATCCGGCCGAGGATGCAGGCAGCACCCACACTGGAAGTCCACCTGAAACCTGGTGGGGGTGTTGCGTAGCTTTGGAGATGTCCTTCTGGTCGGAGACCCACAGAGATTCTGAAGGTAGAGAGCAAGCCCAGATTGATGCCCCTAAATCTGGGCTCTACCAAGCCCTAGATAGTCCTCCTTACCTTCGTGCATGTAGAGGGACCACGCCCTGTAGCATAACCATCTTGCCGGCATACAGGCCACCAAAAATTGTTGTGACATAGGGAACCACCTGGACAAGGGAGAGAAACCAGGTATGCTGACTGGAGGTGGAACCAGGGATTCCTGTGTGCAGGGATAGGTGTGGTGGAGGGAAAAGACCAGGAAACTCAGCTTCCCCACTGTGAAGTTAATCTTGACTGTTAGATTGATGAAATTTACAAATACCATGGAAACACACTTTTAGGAACATCTGTGAGGGATTGTCTAGGTAAGGTTAATTGCAGTGGGAAGACCCACCCTAAATGGGGACAGTACCTTTTCATAGGCTGCTCCCAGACTGAGTAAAAAGGTGAAGGCCAGTGGAATACAAGCATTCAAGGCCTTTGATTCTTGACTGTGGAGTTGTGAGAGTGGCCATCTCCTACTACATTCCCTGCCATGGTGGTCATATCTCCAATGACTGGGGGCCAAAACAAACTTTTCCTGCCTTAAGTTGCTATTGCTAAGTATTTATTTTACAGCAATAAGAAAAAGTAACTTGTTAAGAGAAGCTTTATCTTGCTAGCCGCTTTGGTTTATCACCCGCCAGTCGCCTGGGCTCTGCCACATTGTAGTCCCCAAATAACACACAAGACACTGTATTAATTATGAAGCTGTTGGCCTTGCTTGTTTCTTACTGGCTAGCTCTGACTTAAGTAATTACCCCATAATTGTTAACCTAAGTATGTTTCTTACCGGAGAATAGTTCCGGGCTTCCTACCCCATGGCGGTTACATCTCAAACTCTCTGTGTTTCTCCTTCCCAGAATCCTCCTGGACTCCTAGTCCCACCTATCTAGATTCCTATTGGCCAGCAGTGCTTTATTAACAAATGTACAGGACTTCCCCCATCAGTAACTAACACACTTTCAAGAGAAAATGTCCTTGTAGGGAACAACCAGTTTTCTCTCCAATACTTCTGGATTAATTACTTCTCTCATTGCTGTAACAAGATCCCTGACGAAAGCACCTGAGGGAAAGGAGGGTTTATTCTGCCTCACAGTTCCAGGGTACAGTCCATCATGCAGGAAGTCATGGCAACAGGATCCTGAAGCAGCTGGTCACATTTTGTATCCACATCCAGGATTCAGGCTGCAACAAAACCTGGTGCTTAGCCTGAGGCATGCTTTTTGTTTTGTTTTGTTTTTTTGTTTTTACAAGACAGGGTTTCTCTGTATTGTTTTAGAGGCTGTCGGTTCAGCCCGGCCTCGAACTCACAGAGATCCGCCTGCCTCTGCCTCCCGAGTGCTGGGATTAAAGGCCGAGGCATGCTTTTTATTTAGACCAGGATTCAGCCCCCAGAATGGTGCCACCCACCCTGAAGGTGACTCTCATTACCTTGATTAATGGAGCTTAGATAATACCTCACAGGCTTGTCCAGAGATTTGTTTCCATGGCAATTCTACATCCTATCAAGTGGTTAGTCCAATGAACCATCACAGTTCTTTTCAAAGCTCTCCTTTTTTGGGCAGAGATGTCAAAACCACAATGCCAGGGAGAAGCCTAAACCAACATCACTGCCCTGTCAGAGCACCAACGGGCTGCTGTGTCCCCACTGAGGCTTGTGACCACTGCTACCTGGGAAGGGAGTGTCTGAGGACTGGTGAGTGCCCCAGGAGCTGAGAGGAGAAAAGAATGAAGACGTTGGGAGCAAGCTGACCCTGATGTGGTCTCTCTTCAGGGTCACTCCACAGTGACTAGCCATCTGCTGGGGCCCATCTTTCCTCACAGAGGTTGCCTGGCCTTCCTAAAATATGCACACACTTTTCCACTCTTACTCTGGGTCTGTTGCCTCCCACCGTTTCCTCTCCCTCTATCCTGGCACCTTCTTGCTTTCCCTCTCCTGAGTTCTCAGAGCACTTAACTCCCAATGCTGGAGTAGCGTGGACTCCCAGTATGGAGGAGCTGGCTAGCTGTTTTCCCATTGAGATCACAGCGCCTTATAACTGGAGCCTCGCTGTCTTTTCCTTCAACTGTCTGCGCACAGTGGGAGCTCTGCAGAAGGCGTGCTCACAGGCCAGTAGGTGAACCTGGGGGCAGTGTCACAGGACCAGCCTTCATGCATTGCTTGTCAACACCCAGGGGCAATCAGAGAGCCAGATCACCCCAAGGAGCCTTCCAGGTGGTGGTTCTTAGCCTGTGAAGCAAGAGGCAATGGAAATCTAGGAGGATCAGGTACTCAGGCACCTGGGGAGAGGCCCGAGGCCAAGCTCTCTACATGACATGGTGCCCACAGCTTCGCAGGGCCCAGCAGCACAGTGGCTTCCAGTTTCCAGGCTCTTGGCAGAATGTGTTAATTAACTGAGTGATGGAGGCCTCTAGGGAGGAAAGGACCAGTGCTCATTAGTTAGTGCCTGCTGGGAGTTTGGCCTTCTGTAGAGCATTGCTGGGCTCCAGAAAGCCTCCTGGGCACTGAACAGGAGGAGGGAGAGGATCCCCACTCTCCCTGATTGGGAGGGTTCCCAGGCCCTTCCTTCCAGCTTGGGGGAAACCGCTGCCCTTAGTCGTTAGTGTCCCTCTCAACAATCTTACCTCCATTCTTCAAGCCACCCAGCCCAGAAGAGGTGAATTGAAAAGGCAAGGACCCTGGGAGCCCAATCACTCACATGCAACTTGGAATTTAGCTGACCAGTCTCTGTGTTAAGCCTACTCACTGGGTGGAAGACCGGAGGCTGTAGGATGAAACTGTCAGGAATCGGGTCCAGGTGTTCATCAGCTGACATGGGAGCAGGCGGGGCGACTTCAAGTCAACTGCCAATCCTGATTCCAGCAGCGCCGACCCCCACTGAATTGACTCACTTTTCCCAGGCAGGGTCTTCCGTCTGTGCCGCAGCTGCGCAATCTGTTAGTCTCGCCTGTTCTCTACGGAGTCCTAGTGCTTCTTGCAGTAGACCTGGGAAGGGCAGTGGCCTGCTTTAGGACCCACATCAGCCTCCGCTCCACTCCCAGGCCTGGTGCTACACAGCAGCGGCTTTGGCTGGACCGCAGCTGCTCGCAGAAACTCCGCGTCCAGGGGCAAGGAGCTGGCACTCGCTCACGGAGCAGCTAAGGAACCCCTCTGTGTCCGAAGCACTTGGCCATTTCAAAGGGAAGCCTGGGGTTGGCTCCTTTCAGCGAGGGCTCACCTGGGCCGGGCCTTCGGAGGGTCAGAGGGAGGGATGGTGGTGGTACACGTGTGGAGGTTCCTTGAGAGGCCCCGCCCCCAGCTTCCTGGCTCCTCCTGTCCTCATTCCCCTGCTCTTTCCCCACTATTTGTTTCAAGTTGTACAGTCCCTTGAGATCGTTTCAGCATTAGCTGCAAATGCCAAGGACCAGCTGGGGTCACGAGAAACTGAGTGAGAGCAGGGAGAGGAGGGGTCCCTTGGACGCAGATAAAGTACTCCGGGCTAGCCGGCTCACAGCTTCTGCTTTTACGTGCTGTGTCCTTCTACAAGTCATTTCTTCTCCCTGAAATAACCCCCACCCCGTTTGTTCACCTGTGTGTCAAGAGGGAGACCACGGCAGAGCCTTGCTTTTGAGCCTAGGCCTAGAAAGCTAGCTGTGTTTTAGGAGAGGCCTCCAGGCCTGGTACAGATTCCAGTAAAGCTTCCCCTTTAAAAACAGCATTAGCTTCTCACCTTTAGTCTAACTAAGTTGGGAGATTTCCTGATCTAACTGTGGGGTCAGACTTGGCAGCAGGGAATTCCTGGCAGGACCAGGGTAGACAGAATGTCAAGTGCAGAAAGAGTAAGTAGTTCCTGGGAGGGGGTGCGGCTAGAAATTTGCCAGAAAGGTGAATTGTGGGGCCTCCACGCCAAGCCTGCGGAAGAGGGCTTTTTTGGGGTGAAGTTCAAGAATGGGCCCTGCAGGCAATTCTGCTGTGCATGGATGTTTGAGAAACCCTGACTTAGGTGCTAACTGAAAGCGCTTTTGTTCAGCACCGCTGGGTAGGTGGAGCAGGGGAGCCAAAGGTATTTCTATGGGAAATCCAACCCCGGGTGTGTTCAGAATAAATAAATGCTATGTACAGTGGGGAGGAGAAACTACAGGTGGAGAGACCAGTTGAGCCAGGATACAGTGCCCTGCATGGTAGTCAGATCTGGGCCCCAAGGCCAGTGTTGCCCTTCCCCTCTCAGTCCTGCTGGGAAACGAGGAGGGAGGATGCACTCCTTTACTTGGGTTGCCACAATAAAACACAACAGACCGGGGTGGGGTGTGAACAACAGAAATCTGCTTTGTGTGTTCTGGAGGCTGGAAGTTGAAGACCAGGTAATGACAGCTTTGGTTTCTCCTGGGGCCTCTGTTCTTCTTGTCCTCATACAATTGGTTGTCTCTGCTCCCTGCAGCTGGGTTCTAATCCCCCTTTTCTGTGAGGGTGCAATCATATTGGACTAGGGTACACCAACAAGACCTCATTTTATCTTAATTATTTCTGTAAAGACTGTAAACACAGTCACATTTCTGATGTTTTAGGGGTCACAACTCTGCCGGAAACAGAGTCGTGGTCTGTGCTCTCCTCAAACTCCAAGGCCCAGTGGTGAGGGGTGTGGCCAGTGAGGCCTTCAGGTGATGGGCGGTGAAGGAAGAAGGGTGGCATGATGTGTCTCTCTCCAGGTCACCGAGGCTTTGAACATCCGGGAGGGACCGGGTGAGCACAAAACACCCCAGAACCCGTTCTCCAGAACGAGAAGGGGTCATTCTTTACCACACCTGTGAACCAGATGGGATAGTTAGAGGGTGTGAACATTTGGAAAAAAACTAATTGAAAGAATGGACAGACCTTGGCAGCTGGCCTCACCCCCGTTTAACCTAGCTGGAACTATTTCTGTGTGTGTGGGAACTGGGGGTCCAGCTTCATTTTTCTCAACAGGAACAATCATTCTGTCATTCTCACACATGGAAATTCTTTCCTATTCCAGTGGTGAACAAGGTCATCTGTCTTGTGGTTGGGCTTTCATGAATGAACAGGCACATTACCAAGTACATTTTATTCTATTGTTCTTGTGGCATTCATTTATTATTTTTATTTGTGTTTAGTGTATATCTGTGTATGCCACTTGAGTGCAGATGCCCACAGAGGCCAGAAGAGGGCATCAGATTCCCTGGAGCTGGTGTGTTGGCAGTTGTGAGCTGCCCAGTGTAGGTACTAGGAATCAAATCTGGGTCCTCTCTAAGAACAGAGAGTGCTCTTAATAGCTGAGCCATATTTCCAGCCCTCTAATAAAATACCCTTAATAAAATATTTTATAACCTTTTATCTGGAAAGATTAACTGTGAAAGTATTAATCACGGACAAAAATGTAAACCAATAAGACTCTAACATATTCCTGAGAGAAGTAAAATTGGTATTGTCAGAAAAAAGATAGCCTTTGTATCTTAAAGTTGAAAATTTATATGCACCCTTGGGTATCAAGTCTCGTGAACTCTCTTGAATGAGTATACCAAGACACAATTAAGCTTCCTTTCCAATGGCGTCACTTAAGGAAAAAAAGGCAAACAATCAAACCTACCCACCCAGTAGCTTTATCATTGGATCAATAAACCATGGTATGAACATACAGTGGACTAGTTTACAGTTTCTATATGAGTGTATATGGGTTTCTGTGATCACCATGGCCAGCAGAGTAGCAGTCCTTGGAGGCAAGAAGGGAGTTTTCGGTTCATCATGACTAAGTAGCTGGTGTTGGTCCAAACTTTGTAATTCTGACTCCAAGTAGTTTATTTTAGGCATATTGAAGCACAGCAAATGGGTAAAAGTTTCCTGGTGATGATAACTCAATCCTGTGTGCACAAGAAAGCCCACAGTTAGCTAAATAAAGATTGGACATTGACTACACTGGAACTCTTTGTAAAGTACAGGTGACATCTTGATGGGTTCTATAGATTGAGTGAGAAAACCCAGCTCACAATAAGGGTCTGGAGAGGGTCTGTATGGCCTCAGCCATGCACAGACAGAGCAAAAGTTACCAGGCTGTTCATCATGGTGGACGGCAGGTTATAAATCTCTTCCTTTGAAGGAACAACCCTGTGCATTTAACAATAATGATTCCCCAGTACTGATTTGTGAGCACAAGGGCCTCCTTGCTTCCTACACATAAGTAAGTCATAGAAACAGCCCTGGGAGCTGGGCGGTGGTGGCGCACGCCTTTAATCCCAGCACTCGGGAGGCAGAGGCAGGCGGATCTTTGTGCGTTCGAGGCCAGGCTGGACCGATAGCCTCCGAAACAATACAGAGAAACCCTGTCTCGTAAAAACCAAAAACAAAACAAAAAAAATAAAACAAAAAACAAACAAACAAACAAACAAAAAAACAAAAACCAGCCCTGGGAGAAGAAAGTTGCTGGAGTCCCACACAGTGCGATAGCGGCATCTGTCTCAGTACCTTTGCTAAGTGTACCAGCTGCTTTTTTTCTCCTGTTGCTGTGATAAAAGCTATGACCATGGCAACTTACAGAAGGAAGGGTTCATTCGAGCTTATGTTCCAGATGGACACAAGTTCATGAGGTTGAGGAAGTGTCTTGGGTGTCTATGGCTGTGAGGAGAGAGACACATGACCATGGTAACCTTTATAAGGAAAACATTTAACTGTGGTGGCTGGCTTACAGTTTCAGAGTTCTAGTTCATTATCATCATGGCAGGGAGAATGGTTGCATGGCAGGCAGACATGGTGCTGGCTACCTCTTGATCAGAAGGTAACAGGGAGTGGACTGAGCGTCACACTGAATGAAGCTTGAGCAAAGGAGACCTCCAAGTCCGACTCCAAGTGACACGCTTCCCCCAACAAGGTCACCCCCACTCCAACAAAGTCACACTCCCTAAAATTCCACTTTCTATAAGCTTATGGGGCAATTACATTCACACTATCACAGGAAGCATGGCAGCAAGCAGCAGGTGTGGAGGCAGGCTCTGGAAGATGAGAGCTCATACTTCATCCATAAGCACAAAACAGAGAGCAGAATGAAGTGGCAGAAGGCCTTTACCTCCCAAAGCCCGCCATTTCCAGGAGGCCACACCTCCTACATCTCTGTATTAGTCAGGGTTCTCTAAAGTAACAGGACTGATAGTTGTGTATCATGGGTAGCGCAACAATGGCTGTCTCATGAGGGAAAGGCCAAGAATCCAGTAGTCGGTCAGTCCTCCAGACTAGATGTCTCTGCAGTTCCCATCTGGTGCTGGAGAGCTTCTGAACTTTCCAGTGACAGTGAGGGCATGCAGTCAAAAAGCAGAAGTTTCTTCTGTGTTCTCTCATGTGAGCTGCTACCTGAAGATCTGGCTCAGAGTTAGGGTGAGTCTTCCATATCCAATAATTGAAAAAAGAATCCCTCACAGGTGTGCCCAGCTGCTTGGTTTCAGCTGATTTCAGATGTAGTCAAGTTGACAACCAAGTTCAGCCATCATACTCTTCAAGCAACACTATGACCTGGGGACCAAGTGTTCAAATATCTGACCCCCTGGGAGCATTCATTCAATCATTACAGCATGCTACAATAAAGACCCTTGTAGTAACAGAAATGTCTCCAGGCTGTGATGCTCAGGATCTGTTCCAGCAGATTCGGTGTCTGGTGAGACCCATTTTCAAGGTCATAAATGACAATGGGGGCTCCTAGCTCTCTAGGGGCCTCTTAAGACACAAGTCCCATCCATAAGGAGCTTGAGTCAGGGTCCAAGATCTTCTCAAAGTCTTTCACCTAGTCCATTTACTTTTAGGGCTTAGGAGTGCAGTATATGAATTTGAGAGGACACAGATATCCAACCAGACATTGTCAGGGACCTCCAGCCATCAGTCAGCTAGGCTGTATCATGTACTCATAGAGAAGACGTGACACTAAGACGACCTTTCCACCCCTTCTGACATAAAGCAAATTCCGAGTAACAAGCCTGGGGTTTACCAGTCAGTTAAAGATTAGCTTAATTGAAAAACTACAAGGTCCTCAGAAGATAGACCTGAGCAGTAGTAAATTGTAATAGATAGGATCGGATCCTGCTGTCAGGTTAGCAAGCAACGTAGGAATTCTTACCCCTGACCTCTTGCCCTGTAGATTAGGTAGCCAGGCAACGCAGCAGACCACCTCTCCCACTGACCTCTTGCCCCTGCAGCAGCAAGCACACCTTCCCCCTTCCCCTCCTCACTTCTCCTATATAAATCCCTTTGGGATGAAATAAAGTTGTCACCTTGATCGGAATCCTGTCTTGGCATCCATTCCTGTATCCCCTGTCCTCCATCTTTCTCCTAGGTGTCCACCAGACCCACGTTGAATGTCCTGCGGGTCGGGACAAGACATCATTCTAAAAATAAAGCTTCAAGTATGAAAGCAAGGTATTAGGAATTCAAAAGGATTTGGGGGGAAAAGCGAGTTAAAACATGAGGGGAAATCAGTGGATGAGTGGATAAAGAATACATGGTTTTATTCAACCACAAAGGATGATTTTTCATTGTTTGCAGGAAAATGAAAGAAATTGGTGATTATGTCAAGCAAAATAAGCCGGACTCAGAAAGACAAGTATGATGCAGGCTCCTATGTGTGGACTTTAGGAATAACAACAATAAGGACATGGATGAGAAAGAGGGCATATGGATGTGGAGATTGAGGGGAGGTGATAGTGAGGGAGCATAGCTGAATAACGAATTTGACCAAAGCAGTCAAACACATGTGTGAAAATATCACAGGATTTTGTAGAGGGAACGGCCAGGTGGGTAGTCACTGTATGGAGTCTTAGCTGGGGTTGAAAACAGGATCGTTTGAGCCCCAGAGTTCAAGATCTGCCTGCTCAACAGGGCAAGGCCTCATGGGAAAAACAAAAACAACAAACCACAAACTGAGCAAAAGAACAAAAAGCAAGGACACCTCAGACAACCAGAAGGGGATGAGAGGCGGGAAGCAGGGGACGTAGGCGGAGCTTGTATACTGGGTGCATTATAGTTCTGAGGTTCCACCTTTGTTTATTACATTGCATATTTATTTAGCTCTAATTTTTTGTTTTTCGAGACAGGGTTTCTCTGTGTGTAACGGGCTGTCTTTGAACACACTCTGTGGACCAGGCTGGTGTTGAATTCACAGAGATCCGCCTGCCTTTGCCTCCTGGGATTAAAGGCATGCGCCACCACTGCCTGGCACTATCTAGCTTTAATTTTTAAGAGGTTTATTTGATGAGTATATGTGTTTGTGCCTGCACATCTGTGTACCATGTGCATGCTTGGTGCTGGTCGGAGGGCAGAAGAAGGCGTCAGAACTATGGGAACTGGAGTTAATAGACGGTTGTGAGTCCCCTCGTGGGTGTTGGGAACCGACCTCGGATCCTCTGCAGGGGCTCTTAACCCTAGCCATCACTCCAACTCCCATATTTAGCTTTTGTGTCTCACTAGCTCAGGCTTGCCTGAATCTCACTGTGTAGCGAAACTGAAGCGGGCTTCCCAGGCTTCACATTCCTGTCTCAAAGCCTTCAGCGTGGCAGGTTAGTTAGTATCTGGGGGACTTCTCCAGCGGCCTCAGGTGCTCCCTCTGACACTTGGCGACCGCCGCTTTGTGTGACTCACGGATGACCCACCTTCAGTGTGGCGCGCCCGCCTTCCCGCCAGTGTCCACCGATGAGCTTACTGCACAGGTGCAGCGTCTGCACCCACCCCCGCGCGTGCCCGGGTTCCGCGCGTCCCGCCCCGCGCGCCCTCGCCGCCGTTTGTCGCGCGCCCTCTGGCGGCGCCGCCCCTTCTCTCATCCCTGGTTCTATCCCCGCCAGACCGGGCGCCCAAGATCCCGGTGCTCCGCGGACCCCGGGCCGCGTCATCTGCGAGGTCTCCAGGCGCCGTCGTCTCCGCTGGCCACAGCGGGATGGGCCTGAGTCCGGGTGCCAGCGGGGAGTACGGGATCCACCTCTCCAGGGTCCCATGGCCGCGCCCCAAGTTCACCTTGAGGCCCAGCAGTACCGGGTCAAGTGACACCCAACTTGCCACTGGACAGTCAACCGTGTCCCATCCAGGTTTGCCCCGGGAATGGAGCCTCTTCCTCGAAGCCTTTCTGGGCGGTTCTTGTCCCAGCGAGTAGGGGCCTGTTGGAAATGGCAGTTGCTTGCGTCTAATCCCCCCTCCCCGCACCTCCCAAATTTTATGGCACAGTCCTAATTCTTACTTATTTACTGTATTGTTTTCTATGCAGCCCTGACTGGCCTGGAACTCTGTATTGTTGATCGGGCTGGTCTGGAACTCACAGAAAGGTGCCTACCTCTGCCTGCAGAGTGTCACCACTTCTGGCTTCAGACACCATTCTAAACCAGAACACCCAGCCCACTTTAGGCTTGAGTTGGTCTTTCATGGGGTTCACTTCTTCCCGCACGGAAGGCAGTTGTGTATTAAACCATACCCCTTCCCTCCTGAATTAGAGCCAGCGAGATCTCAAGCGCTGTTGGTCCAGCTCCTGCCAAAGCGGTTCAAGCAAGGCTGCCGGTTAGAGCAGGACAAAAGCTTGCCTCAAGGGTAAGATTCATTCCATGAGGACTGGGGCTTTGATACCAGAAGCCTTTTTGGAAATCTGTCTTAGAACACCCCAACCCCACCAGGTGGTTTCTGCTCCAGTCAGCCATCAGCAAACCAGTGAGTAGCATCTGCTGGGTAAGATGAGCTAGGCTGCAGACCTGATGGCTGTTGACATGGCTTGTTGAAGTTTTTACCCACAAGGCCACTCTGCAGACTCTTGAAAGTTGAATGGGTTTGTAGGAGCACAAACCAACGACAAATTCAGGAGGCTTGTGCCTGGGCATTGGGTTGGGGTGAGAGGGGAGGTATGAAGATTTTTGCATTTTGTTATAGTCTCATACTGTCTTCTCTTGTATTAAAATTAGCATGAAAGTATCATTCTCTGATAGCATTTGAAAAGAATAATGACCAAGTTAAAAAAAAAAAACCTGAAAGCTCTGACCAGAGGGGCAGGGGAGAATGAATGATAGAATTTATTTGGGAATAAGTGCAAAGTGAAGTGCCGAGTGTAGTCACTTTGTGGAAAGCAACAGTTCATTCCAGGTACATGGGAGAGAGAGAAACATTTACAGCTCAAAAGAGGAGAGTGGAAATTGGCCTCAGATTTAATAAATAAATAACAAAGGCATTTAGGAACCAGCAGGAAGGGTGGGTGGGGTCAATTCAAGTTGACCTCTTGCTGGGCAGGTGTCACTGAGAAGCACTCCTTGTGGCAAGTTATGGCTTTGTGGAATTTCTCCTGGTAGCTCCTGTCAACAATGCATGGCAGCACTCCCTCTGGCTACATTTTGTTTGGATTTGAGACCAGGGACTCAAATGTGACACCTCTCCCCTATACATTTAGTTTTAAACAATTGTCAGAAAACCAGGAAGCAGTGGTTGTGCTGCATGAAAGCGAATGTCTGCATGGAATCAAGTTGGCAGGTGTGGGAGGGATGTCTCTTTCAATGACAAAACAGGAAGGTGCTCAGATCTGCAACTACTGGTCCCATAGACTTCCCAACAGCTGTGGAATAATGTTGTTTACAGTGTGACTGTAAAATCATTTATAGAGAGAAGCCGGTAATTAACTTGGAGATCACGTCCAGCAACAAGAGCACAGAGCTGATTTCAACACCTAATTTGGAGATCGAAGGCAAACTAAAAAGCCAAGCAGCAGAGGTGCGTATCCTAGGAATTGACAGAATGAGTGCTTTAGTCTCTTGGTGACTGCACACTGTATTGTGTTTTTCTCTGTCTGTGTCTAATAAATGTCTGCACTGACTTGAGATATTGTTATGCATTTTCAAGAAGCTTTATTGAGGTATATTTAGCACATATTTAAATTCACATTTAAAATATGCAATTAGACACTTTTTGATGTTGTTAGAACTGAAAAGAAAAGAGGAAAATGGCGGTTCCTGGGAAGTAGCTGACATGAGATTACCCCTTAGAAGACCTTTATCAGGAGAGAGAGCCTCGTAACATGGGGAGGGGCAGCTTGGGGCTTTGGAGTTCGAGAGCCTGAGACTAGACAGAGTGTCTTAACAGCTGCATGGTGAGGCCTTGGAGGGAGAGCGAGCGAGCTATCCCTACAAATGCTGAGAACAAAGGTGTTTTCTGACTCTGATAGGTTTTGGAGGTGTGTGTGTGTGTGGGCAAGCTTCATATCACATGATCTGTCTTGTAACTGTCACTGTATCCTGTCATTGTAACAAAGGGCATCAGGTAAGACTATGACTTTATTCTGCAGCTCCAGGGGATGAACAATATGCTTTCTTATCAACCCTGTCTCCAAAAGAGAGAGTTGCAGAGGGGTTTAGTCTGACCTGGAGGAGGGGAGTGGGGAGGAGGGAGGGAGAGAACATGAATGAGCCAGCAAGGGGGTCTGTGATCTCACAGGTACATGTATATGGTTGTGGAGCACCTGCTTGTAATCCCATCCCTGTTACCACGGTGACTCCATCTCCAGGCAGCAACCAGTCTGCTTTCTGTCATCTTTAGATCAGTTTGCATTTTCTTAGCAAGTGCGGTCAAGTGCATGTCCTTCATTTTAAATATTTTATTACATTTATTTATGTATGTATTCATTATGTATTAGCATGTGGGCCAAAGGACAACTTGAAGAAATTGGTTCTCTTCTACCACATGGATTCCCTAATGAAACTCAGGTTGTCAGGCCTGGCGGCAATGCCCTTTACCCTTTGAGTGATCTTTCTGGTTCTCTAACAGTAGTTTGGTGAGATGCTCAGGGTCTGCTGGAGACCACAGCTGTAACAGCTACTAATGGCTTTCACTATGACCTTGTGATCCTGTTCATTTAAATGATCTCTTTAACAGAAAAATAATCCTAACCACAGGTTTTACTTTCTCATTACCTAACAGTTGAGTCTGTAGATCAATTATTTAGAGTTAGAGAATGTCATCCATTCATATATTTTCACAGGATCAAAGCACGTGTCTCTAGTGTTACAACCAAGGAGAGTTCCAGGCTCTCCTTTAAACAATTTTTAAAATTTTAAATCTTGTATTCATTATACATACCAACCACAGTTCCCTCCCCTCAACCTCCCTTCCTGTCCACTTGTCAGAAAGGGTAGGGCCTCCCATGGGGAGTCAACATAGCCCGTCACATTAAGTTGAGGCAGGACCAAGAGCTTTCTCTCTGCATCCAGGCTGAACAAGGACAGGGGATGGGTTCCAAAAAGCCAGCTCATGCACCAGGAATAGATCCTGGTCCCATTGCTAGGGGCCCCTCAAAGAGACCAAGGTACACAACTGTCACCCACATGCAGAGGGCCTAGTTAGGTCCCATGCAGGCTCCCCAGTCTAGAGTCCATGAGCTCCTGTGACCTCAGGTCAGTTGTCTCTGTGGGTTTTCCCGTCATGATCTTGACCTTGGCCTGGTGCTTGCTGTGGATCTTTGAATATACTTCCATCAGTTACTGGGCTCTATGATGACAGGGTAGTCACCAATCTGATTACAAGGAAGGCAAGTTCAGGTACCCTCTCCGATATTACTAGAAGACTTAGCTCGGGTCATCCTTGTGGATTCCTGGGAATCTCCTGTGCACCAGGTTTCTCCCTAACCCCATAATGCCTCCCTCTACCAAGATGTCTCTTTCCTTGCTCTCCCACTCTGCCCCTCCCCCAACTAGGCCATGCCGTTCCTTTTTGTTCCTATCTGCAGATCTCAGCTATTTTCCCTTCCCAGGAGGATCCATGCAACCCCTCAGGGTCCTTCTTGTTACCTAGCTTCTCTGGAGCTGTGGACTGTGGTCTGATTGCCCTTTGCTTTACTTCTAGTATCCACTTATGAGTGAGCACATACCGTGTCTGTCTTTCTGGGTCTGGGTTACCTCACTCAGGAAGATTTTTTTCTAATTCCATCCATTTGCCTGCAAATTTCATGATGTCATTGTTTTTTTTTCAGCTGAGTAGTATTCCACTGTGTAAATGTACCACATTTTCTTTATCCATTCTTCAACTGAGGGACATCTAGGTTGTTTCCAGGTTCTGGCTAGTATGAATAATGAGCAAGTATCCTTGTGGTATGATTGAGAATTTAATGACTGTGTACAATGCCTTTTGGTAATGTCCACACTTCTTGAAGCACTGAGTTCAGTTAGTGCTGCTGGAATGCGCATGTGCGTAGACCCCTCCATTACAGCCTGGGCAACCTGTGAGGGCCACACTCCTGACTGAGCTTCATGGGGGCAGGGAGAACCAGCTCTTTTCCTGAAATGAGGTCTTGAGATTTGCTGGAAATAGATGTAGTCCCGCCCTGTCTTCATTTCCTGTTTCCACATGTCTGCTCCGTGCTCATGCCTTGCTCATTCTGTGCAGGGTCCTCATGATTGTCCACTTCCAGTGAGCCTAAGTGTTTTTGCGTCCCCAGAGCCTTTGCCATGTATTGCCAGGACAGCCCTTTTCTGCTCTTGTAAACATAGCATGTTTGTGCTCTTCTAGATTAGATGTATGTATCCCCGCCAAAATTCACATGTTGACATCTTAACCCTCAGTATGGTTGTATTTGGAGTAAGGGAATAGTTAAGGTTAAACGAGGTCCTGAGCTGCCATGACTGGTGTTTTTGTGAGAAGAAACCCCAGGAAACCCTCTTTCTCTTCACCCTCATCCCCCACTCTGTGAGAGCTCACAAAAGGAAGTCATATGGGCACAGGTGAGGTGGTAGACACCAAAAGCTGAAATAAGGGACCTCAGAATGACACCTGCCTTGCTACACCTTGATTCTGTATTCCACAGTCTGAAGAACTCTGAGGCAGTTAGCATGTGTTGTATAAGGCATCCAGTCAGTGGAATTTGATCACGCCAGCTTGAGCAGACCCTCACCTCTGTGTCTGAAGTCTGATTCTTAGGTGCAGTCTGGGCACTGGCCTAGCCTAGTGAGCTCCCCAGAATATCATCCTTCCACACTGTCCCCATACTCCCAGGCCCAGCTTGATTAATGTACCTTGTACACCAGACCAGGCTGCCCCAGCTGAAAACATTCTTGGTTACTACTGAATTGGAATCACCCCTGTCCCTCCAATGAAAACTCAGCACTGAGTGTCTGAAGGACTGATCTACCAACATCTCATACCTGATTTTGAAATCAACCAAGCTTCCACCCAACAGAGGCAGGCTAGAATCTTACACCAGACAAGCAATCAACAAAAGCCTATGTGTCCAGGTCATAACAAACAGTATGAAAGGACAAGACAATATGCACCCTCTCCAGTCTGAATTCTCTAGTCCTATAGAAATGTTCTTCCATGAGAATTACTGAGATGAATCCCAGGGTACAAAATATAAAAGGATAATCATGAGCATGATCAAAGAGTTCAAGTAGTTTAAAGAAGACACTGGCACCCCAATGAACTTTAAGAATGTAGGAATAAGCTGCGTGGTGGTGGCACACGCCTTTAATCCCAGCACTCGGGAGGCAGAGGCAGGCGGATCTCTGTGAGTTCGAGGCCCGGCTGGACCGACAGCCTCCAAAACAATACAGAGAAACCCTGTCTCGTAAAAACCAAAAAAAAAAAAAAAAAAAGTAGGAATAAACTCCCGAGTGACGCTTAGGAAAACAATCATACGGCCGAATGAAACAAAGACAACTCGGGACCTAAAAAGTAGATCCAGTAGAGAGAGAAACACACAGGAGAAAACTCAAGCTGAAAGGAAGATTTGACTGAAAAGATGAAGGCTCCCCTCCTCACTGTGCTTTTGGTCTCAAACCCTCCTGCTGTCATTTCCAGGACCCCTGTGACGTGGCTAACTTTCACTGTTGTCTTGATCTCTCTGCCAGAGCGCCCACCAGCACTTGCATGTGTGCTGTTGTCTTTCCTTCCAGGAAAGGCCCTCACGAGCCCTTGGCCTCTGATAGCCTGTGGGCCTTGTCTGCCCACCACCCTGTCTGCCACAGACCACCCCAAGCGGGTATGTGGGTCCCTGGGATGAGGGTCCTTGAGGACTAGGTAGGTAAGGATTCGGCAGAGACAAACAGAAACAAACACAGAGGCAGTTTGAATCTGAGTGTATTTTGTAGCTCTCAAGCAAGGCTTTTTATACAGAATGAAACAGATATTTCTCAGAGGATGTTGAGTGAAGCAAACCCAAATAGAACAGATGACATCATTGTCACTCGGCACAGTAAAGCACACAAATCATCCAAGGCTAACCAAAGCACGGAATCACCTAACCCTAACTATATATTTCCTAGATCATGTTAATAAATTCTTATGGTCAGTTATTGTTTAACATCTATTACCTAATTCTTATGAATCTTCAAAATGTGAAGTTAAGCTATTTTAATTATTTATTAAGAGCTTTCACCATACACCTAAACCCACTTCCAATGACATATGCACAGCCATATGACATTTTATTATTGGGAAAGTTTTTTATCATAATACTATTTTGTAATTTTGTAAGTGTTTGAAAAGCCCTGGTTTTCCTGGAGATGAGGTCATGGCTAGTGACCCCATCTCAAGGGATGGTTTCTTATCTAATTCTCTTGCTTCAAACCTCACCGTAGATTGTCAGGAACATTTCATAAATATGAAAAGAGAATAGAAGATCAAACAGAAATTGCCATAAGAACTACGACTCAATATTTTGCTCTGGTTGAGAGTTCCACAGCCGTTTCCAAGAGACCGCCTTCTTTTGAAGTTACCGTCTCAGT